TCGTTAAAATCAAGGGTGCCAAGTAGCTCCAGAGAGAGAGCATATGATGAAATTCTTTAAAATCTTATTTCGTTTTACTTTCTTTAGCCACTGAACAAGAATCACAATATGGTCCATTTGAAGGTACCCTTTGTTTGACTATTCCGGCACGCATTGGCCTCACTTCATGAGGATTATATTTCTATTTTTGCCCTAATATATTTCTCATTAATATTAGAAAGAAGAGTATAGAAATTAAAGAGAAAACTTGTTACTAAGTCGTTTTGTTGAGACGAAAATTATTATTCGAATATTCCAATTTCTGATTAATGATGATTTGATGTTTGAGTAGCTTTTTTCGAAAGGGTATGAAGGGTATAGTTTTAAGTGCAAAATTGCGAGTTGTTGTCGAGACAAAATAACTTAAGAAAATCAGAATATCTGTAAGACATAGAAAACAAGGCTATATTGAGTTTAAAACAAATAGGCGACAGTTTAGTTCTTCGACATCTAAGCCATATCACACTGATATTCTGTTGTAGATACTCGGTTTGATCAAGTTGTAGATGTTCAAACTAATGGAGGTAAAATATTTAACTCATTCCATTTACAAACTGTTCTGGTTATAGTTAAAACTGCCAAACTGATTTAAAAAAGGCAATGAAAATTGATTGTCTCCGCGCGCAATTCAGCATGCCCAGCAGAAACATGCGAAAAGTACCCATGTTCTGGCATATTAGCTATGATGGTAGATTGGGTCATTTTTTCTTAGGGGCTCTTTACATGAGTCCGGTTACCCGAGGTTCAGCAAAGCGTGAGATGATTTTGAGGTATTGAAATGAGCAGATAACATGATCCTGGCAGTCGTATAATCACCGCAACAATAGTATGTGCTTGTTTGGTGTCATAAAGACTTATTTCATACCTCAAAGTCCTCTCACGCTTCGTTGAATCTCGGGTAACCGGGCACATGTAAACAGCCCCTTACTGTCTCCTTTCGAAGTTTTGATGCATGTGACTTGAAGATGATGTCCAGGGAAGCTGGACTGCTAGATTGGGGGAGGGGTTGCATCTATATTTATATTTATGTTTACACACTATAAAGGGACTGCCAGCTTTAAAAATAGCTTTAATATATGAATATACCCCCCCCCCTTCCCAATTAAGCTTTTAGTTACGGTCCTGAAAACGTCTTAATATTCAGTTTTTGAATACTCTCTAAATTGGCCGAACTCCTCGTTTTATTCATAGAATGACTTTGTGTTTTTCCATTTAAACAGACCGCTTAATAAGTGAAGAAGATGAGATAAATTTTATGCATCTCCCAGGTAATTCATAGCGTATTGGTGAATAATACAATAATATAGTGTTAGAATTAATAGTATATAAGAATATAGTATTAGAATTCAAGACATTAAGAGCCATTGTCCATTAAGCGTCGACTTTTTTGCATCATGACCTTTTTGACCGTTGCAAAATTTGCAATGAAGTGCAAATCTCGCCGATTGCTGCGTTCGTACAAGCCTAGTACCCAGGATGTTTTTCACGTCTGGAAGGGTAGATAGAACTCTGGGCACTAGGAACAATTTGTTTGTTTCTAACTGCAGTAACTGTAGTTGTATATCGCGAAGGCATGCATGTGAACATTTTAGTTACCTTTTTAGATTTTGGAGTAATTCCCAACTCTGATCCATCGTCACTTGAGATGGATTTGTTGAATTATGACTCTGGAATTGAAGCTGAGATAGAAGAAAATAAAGGTTTGTTCATTTTGAATTTATTGAAAAGTCATTGAAAGGTCTAAACATTGAATAGTTTCCACAACAATAATTTTGCCAATTTGTTCAGCTCGAACCCCAAGAAAGCGTTCCAAAACCAAACAGAAACGAGTGAACCGTGAGTATATTTACTTTTCGTTTGTTTGAAAAAGCACTTGTCACACTCTTTCCTGTGATATGATACTGATAATAATCTAAAATTGATAGTTTGTCATCGATTATGCCTTAATTCTGAGATTCATATTTCTAATTTAGGTCTGCAGGTCGACAACATAACAGACAATGCTGAAGAGTCGGAAGAAGCCACAGGTAACCTGCACTTAATACGACTCAGTTTGACATTGAGCTTTTTTAGTTCTAAATTCAACTATTCAAATTTCAAACCATCATCGGCAGCCTGATCAATGCCGTTGTACGTCATGGCTACTTACGTCGGGTGAAGTTTACAGTTTGCTGCTACGGTTATGACTCGTATCATTGATAGATCTAATTGACTAATACATATTTTTCCTTTATTGGTATGCGTAGTTTCAAAATTCCATTGCCAGTATTTGTGGGAATTTTTACAAAGTTTACTCGGCTGTAAGAAATTCAACAGCAGATACATTGAATGGAAGAATCACCCTGAAGGAATCTTCAAGTTGAATGATCATCATTCGGTTGCTAGACTCTGGGGATACAAAAGAAGAGAAAAATATGACTTATGACAAGTTGAGCAGAGCTCTCAGGTATTACTACAGTAAAAATATCCTGCAGAAGGTTGATGGGGAGCGACTTACTTATAAATTTTGCAAATCTGTGTATGAATACAAAAGTTAAACGCATCAGTTATTATACCATACTTCATGTAAAATTTATTTAGGCACGCAACTATATTCTTCCCTAGGAAAGTTCGATATTTTGATCATTGATATTCATTTTCATGACTTTATCACTTCATGTATTTCGGTATTGACTGGTCTAATAGATAGATTAAAGTATTTTCCGGCATTTTGTTGGGGAATGGGGGTGGGGTGGGGTGGAGGTGCTAGATAATAACATAAGCGTACACAACCTGATGATTTAGACCCACCACGCTATCACTGCTTTGAATCATAAAAAAATAATTATAAGGAATTAAGGCCCTTTTTCATATAAAAACACACTCGCGACCAGCCTTCTACTTTGGAGGAAAATTTTCTTCCACAAGCATTGTCGTGCATGTGGAGAGAGGTTATAGAAGTTATTCATATTTTAACGCCATATTTTTTGCCCCTGTGGGCAAATTTTGACAGGATATTTTTTGATTAGATATACCTAATGCACGCTTATACAACAGTGGTTAATTCATAGGGGAGCGCACCCCCGAAAACAGATTGAACCTGGTTTAACATTTCCTGATTGTAGCTATCAATTATCTTATTCTAATAACATTTATGACGACTGCGGGTTGCGCAAAAGTATTAGATTTTCTTTATTTCCTTAAAAAAGCTTTGCTGGATTACCATGCACTGTTGAGATTCAATTAAGATCCTTCTCATTCATCCTAGTTCTCAATTCATTGATCAGGCTGCCTATAGACAAATGTCTTTTTCCTGTTTTAATGTTTACATAATTAATTGCATGTGGTTGCATTTGTCATTTATGAAAACACTGCATATACAACTTAACCGTTTATACGTGTAAATTTTTAACTTGTAACTAATTGACTGAAACAGCAAGAATAACGCCGTCGTGTAACATACATTTTTATCATTTTTATTCCTTCTGTGTATATAATTGAAAATTTTTGCAATAAAAAGTCATTTACAAACCATTTTGTGAGAGGATAATGTGCATGAAACAATTTTCAGACACAAAGTTTCAAAAAGTGCGTTCGAAGCATAAATTTCGAATACAAATCTATTTATAATTTTTATACTAGTTCCCTGTTTCGCATTATGCCAGTTACCAGTTGTAGATTCGTGGGGAATCATTATGCACAATTATAGTGTTCAGGTCCTACGAGTAGCATGAAAGTAGTTTATGTTTGGAATTGGAGTCACACCTTTATAGTAATACATGGAAATTCCAAAGAATAAACTTATATAAAATTACATTTAGCCGTTCTTTCTTCAGTAAGATGAGGTCAGAATGTGAAAGAAACAAGCGCAGGTGGGTATCTGATTAAAAAAGTAATTTTAATTATCCTTGATGATAATTTGGCAACGATATAGGCAACGTAAAAATTAGATGTTTATACTTACAGCCGCTGATTTTTATGCTTATATAGCCGGAAGGGATTGTCGGAACATGTAGAAATGACTTCAGCGTCGCATATCGAGGCGAGAATAGAATTAATTTTAATTTTGTTCTTGCTGCAGTGGGTATTATCACTCTTATGGTATAACCCAATATCGCTGCTCTTCTATCTTTTTATTAATGAATTAAATTTCGAAATTAGTAAAACTGACATAAGAGGTGATGCGAATGAGGTGTTTAATGATTATCAGGCAACAACAGCAACAAGACCCTTGTTACAATAGATTAAAACCTTGCTTGAATGCAGGGACTAGTCGACATTTGCTAGAAAGATATTTGGAGGGGAAAGGTGCCCAATCATATCCATGTTATAAGTAATCGTTTTCGGAAGCCGTTCCCTCTAAATTCTATGCTAGTCGACATAAATAATTCGAATATTCGTTTATGCCATGCAGGTTCAGGAGCTTCTGTTCATTTTCATGTGCCTAATTCGTAAACCAAATTTTTAATACTTTCTAACAATCTGGTTGATTATTGCTGGTAACCGCGGACCATTTCGCAACTATTTATCGCTACATTGACAAGTGATACACGCGTAAAAACGCTAAGGTTGATGCAAGTTGATATAAACAGGATGGAGCAATGTTGTGCTGCCCACATTGTTCAGAGTTGTTATCAATATTGAACAATATTGTTACACCCGATTCAGTTTCAACAATATTGTTCAATGTTGATAACAACTCTGAACAATGTGGGCAGCACAACATTGCTCCATCCTGTTTGTATCAACGTGCATCAACCTGAGCGTTTTTAGGCGCGTAGTACGAAATATTTGAAATTTCAATATCCCGTCTTTCGTGCGGGGTATATGCTAATTAGCCAATCACAGAGATTTACATAAAATAATGCAAAGGCCGCATGAGCCCTGACACCTGTGTGTTATATATTTATAGATATATTTCCGTCAATCAGGCCAAATACCAAGAAATATTTCACCGCTTTTCACTGAATTCACTCATAAACAAAATTGCAGGTAAAATCTCTCGGCCCAGAAAAAAAATTATGGTTTTACAATATGCTTCAAAAAATCTGGCAAGGTACGGGTGTCTCTCTGGAACGGTACAGTGTACAGTATAAAGACCACTGATAAAGACTATGTATGAGATACATACTGTATGACGCAATATGTAGCAGGAAATTATGCATGCAATAAAACAGGCATAGATTTAAAAGACCATGTGATACTACAGTGTAAATATATTATCCTAATATCTTCCCTCCAAATTATTAAATATACGAAGACCAGTAACAGTTTCTTCAAAATGGTTATCGCAAATGGTATTATTTACGCGAAAATGTTGCTGATTTCCCAGTAATTTATTCATCCATTTGATGAGTTAATCTGATTTACTCTTGCTTCCTTTCCTGAATATAGTTACAGGCGAGAAGGATGAAACAGTGTTATAAGTTGCACCAATAGCGGTGCCAGTCGTGGACAAGACACCTCCAGCAACCCAGGTTACTCCACCATACGCTGTACCGGCGGCATATTTTGTTGTGTTGTAAACAGTTCCAGATAAGCGACCGAGCAAACCTTGTTGCACATCATTTACTTCGTTCTCATTGTCTGGTTTAGCAAAAACATCTTCATCTGATTTCTGAAAAATATTAACACAGCTATATTATCTGGGTTCATGCACTGCGCAATGTTGCTAACGGTAAGTAGGCCTACAACAAGTTTCTAATATCACTTCTTTCAGTCAAGTATAATTTGTTGTTGCAAAAGAGCATACTCTTGGTTGGGTTTGGTTGTAAATGGCATATATTCACTACACACTCAATATATGAAAGGTCATTATGAAATCATTTTGTGAATTGAAAAATAAAAAAAAGAACTAAGCATTGGAGAAAACCACAAGAGACTGTAAACTGGTAATATCTTTGTCTACAAAGGCTATTGTATTAACCTTGCAATGTCTGAATACATTGTTCAGCATTTTATAAGCTAGATGAGAAGATCATCTTGAAAAAATTAGCTGTTTTTTGTCAAGTTCTTACAAGTTGCATGTTTTCATATGTGTATAGCAATGACAAGTATAAAATGACAGATTACACACATCATAAAGCCACCGGCTGTTTAGTAATAGATACAAACCTAGCTGACTTTAGATTGCATTTAGAACAAAAAACATTTGGCATGAGCAGCAGATGAGCAGTCAATTTTCACTCTTACTATGTTCTCATGATTTCTGTGGTTCTATTACTGAACAGACAATATTAGATATATCTATTTGATTTAAATATTAAACAAAATAAAAACAAATCGATTGATTTATTTATGGTAATCCTAAGAATTTTTACATACTGACCGGTGCAAACTTATTGCACATGTATTTGTTTGGTAATAGATCATGACTTTCAACCAAACAGAAGTAACAGAACATACAATATCATATGTATATATACATATATATATACAATTGGAAGGTATACAAAATTATACAATTTCCAATAGAAGAATGCACAAGCTTTTGTTCGAAGGTGTGGTAAAAATGATTTCAGCAATCATACCAAACTGTCTGGTACAACATGCTATACTAACAAACTACTGAAAACACACATGGGATATTTTGTTTGGTCCTAAGAACCCGAGACTGGTATTACAAAGCTACATATTGTACAGTTTAATCATTGCAGTTAACTCAAAACTGCAGTCAATAACAATAATAAAAAGTCTTTTGAACATAGAGGCCACCCATCTTTAATAAAGCTTTTTAAATTAGGCATAAAGAAAGAGATGGTAATCAATTAAGGAGTATATCTGAAAGAGTCATACACAAGTCACTCTTGTTGCCTGTTAAATGAACCAAATTCAAGGATATCATGGAATATGGATAAAAAATTTTTCAAACTCGCATAATCTGCCTGGATAAATTGCACATCTAGTTGTAGTTCAATAGAGAGAAATGATTTGGTATAGTATGAAGGGCAGTCTGGTGTTCACTTCAGATTTCAGAGCAAATGTCCACATTGTAAACAACTATAACATGCAGTTTTAAAAGCCAGGGCCACTTTACTTAGTAGGAATTTAAAAAAAATTATTGCCTCCAACGGGAGAAATATGTGTTTCAATAATCCATAGGACTACTGTAATTGTGAAACACTGTCATTTCTGGTCTAGAATATAAAAATACAAATAATCTAGAATTATGCCTGTGCATTATTTTTCCTGTCCTACACATACAATATGAATAAATAACGTCTTTTCACACGAAAAAACATGAGAAGTAAGGGAATAAATACAGTTGCGTCAACATATTACTGTGTCCTCCTTTATTAATATGCGACTACAAATAGCCTTTGATCATTCTTAATAGAAAGCAAGAATATTGTTGCGTTTAACATTTTATAATCCCAACAGTGATTTAAATAAGTTATATACGCGATACCAGACTTGAATAATTGCATTTATACAACACGAAGAACCAAAATCTTATAAAAATCAATATAAAAAAATATGAATACCTTTTCATTTGCAGTCATGTCTGCTTGGTTTGCGTCAGCTTTTTCGTCCTTGGTTAAACTTTGTGCTCGCCGTGACTAAAATATCAAACACAATTTAAAATACATTCTCAGGAAAGAAAAATAACAAATTTATTGGATTTTACTAACCAAATTTGTATCTTCTTGCATCGATTCGACCATATTTCATCAAATATTTCACATAAAGTTCTCAAATGCGCTAAGCAACATAAGTTATTCACAATAACAAAGGCCTCAGTGTTGTCTCGACCAATCATATTCCAATATTTTGAAATAACCTGTTTATATTATTACCTCAATGACAAGTTACAAATAACCAGTTTACGTTTGTGCACGTGGTTTGTGATTAGTACTCTAGCTTGTAGCTTTATGAAAGACGCGCACTCTAGCTTGCAGTGTAATGAAAAACGAAGATTTTCATTTTTACTTCGTTCTTTATTTCCTTGAATTGACCGGTCACAATTAAAAAGAAAATCAAGCGTTCAGCGACAACTACGAGCCCTAAAGGACTAGATTAAGGATTATATCCGTGGATTCCTAAAAATAATCCCCTGTTCAGTAAATCCCAAATCCGTGATAAATTCTTAATTAATACACGTGATTATTCCTCCTAAATCTTAATCTCTAGCCCTAGTATTAAATTCGTGTATTTTATAGGATATACTATAACTCCTTGGGCTTGGGTTGGAAAAAAGTAAACCATACTCCCTGTTCCAAAGTAAAAGAGAATAGTAAAAATTAAAAAGCTGCAAAGTGGCCAAATGTTGTCAAACGCGGAAAACATAGCCTTGCAAAGTTCGCAATTGTTATCGCACGGAAGTTACCACCTTTGGGCCGAGAAATCGCCATATTTTGAGCATTTTACAAAAGTTCATTCAGGTTAGTATGATCTTTCTAGCTGTGGTTATTTCTATTTTTTGTGGGTAGCCTGCGCATGCGCGGCTAACCACTATGTAGTCGAAAAAGTGTCCGGATCTGTGCTACTATACTTGGCAGTGCTGACCCCTCATAAAAAGACCCCAATTACACGAGAGAGCCCCTGCCATATATGGTGTATATAGCCTTATTTGTCACTTGCGTTTCTCCTGCGGTAATGCGGTTATCGGACGCGACAAACAGCCGTGTTAGTTCGTTTACAATTATAGACCAAAGATGTTTGGCACGTTTAATAACTGGAGTTAGAAAGTTGAAATAGGACTAAGATGCTCTGTTTAATTTTAGCTAATATAAACGTCAATGTGAATATTACCGCGTTAGTAATCCAACAGAATGCGTTTTATTATTGTCTTGTGTCGTCGTCTTGTAGACATCTTAGACTTAGTTGATGTTGGCATTTTATTATTGCTATTACTATTTTATTGGAACCGTATCAGGATAGTCGCATATACTTCCAATGCATGTTCTCTCATCATAGAAGTATTTATTTAGTGGCCTAAACTGAACAATACCTGCAAACCTTCGCATGGCTCTCAGTGTCTACGGTCTACCTATCTGAAATACTGCTTTACAAGTCAAAGACTAGGGCGCTGTTTATCTGATCGCGTGTATCGGGGACATCATACTCCCAAGACAACTATACCAAGCCAACCCTTTATATGATAAAATTGCAAACAAATAGCAAGCGATAGTGTCTTCTTAATCAATGCTCTATTCGCTATTGCGCACGCACCGGCAGGAAAAGTTAACCCTGGAGGCCGAGACAGTGTAATACGGTGGCCGATAAGGCTACATGGTTCTCCCTACCACTAGGGTTACTCTTTTTCGTAAACAGCGTGTCACACCCACGTTGACCCAACCAGCCGAGACGAGTTTAAAACTTCCTAATATAAACACTTGCGTTTCAGCTGCTACAACTGATTATGAACACAAATTTACCTGGATATCCGAGATAATATAAACAGCGCCTATATAAAGGCCTGATTCAACTACTCATGCCCTAGTTCGGGGCCTATTCATAATTCATATTAGAGCCTGGAAACTCGTCTGATGTGAATTCGGTCACAGATAAGTTTCTCGTCCTAAATTTCCAGCCTAAAGGCTCAACACACGGGTTGAAGGATCACTGATTCGCACGCTCGACTATCTTGTCTTCTGTTATCCTTTTGTAACTACCTCCTTGCATACCTTTGATTTCAAACATCGCCAACAATAATACACAACCTATTACTACACACGTACCTACATAGTTTCTTAACCCTATTTGTACCGGGGTTTTTTGATGTTGATATGACCGGGGGTTTGCTGATAGGGCACACCCCTCAGATATTCTGTCGATTACCTGAAATTATCCTTTTAGTTATATTTTTAGGAAGTTTTATCTCTCTTTAACCTAAAATAACAAAAAAGTTGAATTCACATCCAAAATGCTGCGTTTTGGCCCCATTCGATACGACCACCTATCGAAAAATGGCAAAAATCTCTAAATATTCTATGATTTTGGTTCTTTTCTATGAAGATACAAAATTAAACATTTTGGATGTGTTATTTTTTGTTTTTTTAAATTCAAACGACATAGTTTAATGTTATGGCATACCTCTGATGTCCATAAATACTACCATTTTTCTTTTTCATAAATCACCAACCCCCATTTTCCCCATTTTCGGCTCGACACCTTGTTTGACAAATGTCGTCAAACGCCCCGATAACTTTGAACTTTTCAAACAAAATTTTCACACTTGTGATATGGTAGAGGAAAAATATTAAAAGTCATAAAAGGGCAAGCGAATGGAATCACTTGTTTGCACGCACCCCCGTGCAAACCCCCGGTATAAATAGGGTTAAAGAGTTTCATCACACACGAATAAAACCCTTTCATTTTCATACGAACCGCATGGTTAGTGGTTGTCCAACAACCTACTAACTACCCCCTCTGTTTATTGGTTACGCCCCTAATTTACAAAAAATTTTTTACATAAGTTACTCATGACTTTCCCCTTTTTTTCTCCACAAAAACCTAACCTTTTATACAATTTATCACAAATTAAACAATGAGAACTAAAATATGGTTCCAATTACCTATATCAAAATATAATATAAAATAAGCATTGTAATTTTATATATTTTTGTTAATATGTTGGAAATGTAGAGTGATCGCAACGCTATTCACAATTCACTTCACAATTTTTGTTTTCTTTTGATTATATAGTAATTTCACACTCTGTATCCCTATCAACTCTCGCTACACAACTTCTAAGGCTCTAGATTTACCTGTAACTAAATGATTGTCTTTGGGAAGGAATGTCTCTCTACTTAATTTAATGTCGTCAATGAACTAATTACCTAAATTACCAATATTCAACAAATTTTCCTCGTAAAAACTTCCTTACAGACTACTAATAAAAAATGTGCAATTAACTTGGATTGCTACATGCTTTTTATTTTTATGTGTGATAGATATACATAAAAATTTATCTTTTTATTTTTTTATTTTTTTCATTCATAAGGGGCTTTCATTCCTACTAACTCTCCTGAGTCCTGACGAAGGCCCTCAGGTCGAAACGTCAAGAAGTGTTTTGTCTATTTTAGGCAGTTGTTATACCACATTTGATGCTAAGTTATATTATTTTCATATATTAATTGAAATAGGTAGTGACTACCTATCAAGCTGGGTCTACTGAAAATCTCCAGAATTTTCATTAAAAGCAGATTAAAAGCAACTGAAGCAAGAGAACTGTTAGATATCAGACTTAATATCTTTAAACTAGCTATATTTTCATATTTCCCACCGTATTTTAGAAAATACGAAGGGAATTTTTCATTCATTGTTAACGATCAATTCGCAAGCTCTTCTTGTGTTTTCATCCAGTTAATTAGTTTCGCTGATTGTTGGAAAGGAGCAATTAGGTATGATCTTTCTTATTACGTAATACAGTTATTAGAATACCCGTTCGCAGAGACATGATAAAAGTATAGTATGACTTACTGGTTGTTCTACCGTACGAATTTTAAGCAAAATAAAAATACTATTGTGGTTGGTTGGGTGGAAGTACAATACGCACATAACGAGAAAGTAACCAATATTGAAAAATGTGGTTGTACCCTCGGAGATTAAGAAAAGACAAATTTCCAACTAGAAACAAACTGTCAGATCATTATATTTTGATGAAACAAGAAAATTTTGCTCAGTTTGTGGGACAACTGTTGTTACTGCCATGCTACAATATTTCATGCATTGACAGGATTTTCTGCATATTATAGCTACTAAATTGGATTTGGACGCATGCCGGTATATTAAGTAGACTAAAAACCACTTGTGATTAGAAATAAATGTCACTAACTGGTGGAATCATTTGGAATGCACTCGTTCGATAATAATATACAGCTATCATTAATAATATTGATAGTATTAATTTAATGTTAATCTAATTTAAAGTGTGTATAATTCCATTCGAAATTAAGACCCTTCAAAACCCTTGTAATAATTTAATATTATAGCCTGTGATGATTTTCCTTAAAACGAGGAATATTGCGAAATGGCTTGTACCCGTCTAAGTAAACTGTGTGTTTTTAACTTGCACTGAGAAAGGAAATTTTCATAGAATTTTCGCAGTCATGTATCCGATATTGTAAGTATAGGTGTGGCAAAAATTGGAAAATGTGGAATTTCACAAAATGAAAGTACCTATCGTTATGTCAATATTCAATAGGTAGTGCATATGAAAGCAGCAATTTTAACTACAAGGGGCTCTCTTCCAGCAGGCTGAAAATTGTAAAAGAGGTAAACATTGCGAACTCGGAGATGATCCTTCTTCAATACACCTCTACTGTTTTGCACATTGTTCACTTTAAAATAGCCCCTGCAGGAATTGCGTCTTTCATCCAATTATATTCTTTAAATCAACCGGCCCAAGCTTTTCATCAATTCTCTCTCTTCTCAGGCAGAAGAGTATGTGGCGAACGAGTCACTGTCGTGTGATTTTGATCAATTTCATGATAAAAGTGTGTGGATACGGTGGGTTTAAGTGATATATGCACGCGTGTCTGGAGGTAAAGTCCCGCAAATTCTGGCTTAACGAAAACAATCATAAGGCAGCGTTCCAGTTATTTATTACAGTTCATTGACGCGCTGTGGTTTCACCATGTTTCTTATAACAGGTGGGAAATTTGCCAGCCTCATATACCTATGTGCAAGGGTGTAACCACTTCCCTCTATTGCTTGATTGTTTTGGTCTAGTAACTAATTTTATAACACTAATAACTACCGTATTCACTTTAGTAATTTATAGCAGGGAGGGGGATGGGATGTTTCCTCTTCGTGATTGAACGTGCATGGGTATGTGCTTGCGCGCATATTTTCCCCTGTTTACAAATTTACTATATTTCCACATAAATGAATATATATGAATATATATAATACACCATAACTCTACAGACGAACATGCATGACATTTGACACATTTTCACGACACTGCATGTTATGCCAGGCTGGGATCAGTTACAGGGGTCAGAATAGAGAATATACCATGTCTGCACGGTTGTTTTTTGAGAAAAATTAGACTAAAATCATTAAAATTTTAAACTTATATGTATAATAGACAAAGAGCCGTGCCTCACTTCGCGCCGGTGTCTGACTGTATAAATTTAAAAAAAAAAAATATCTTGGCATTTTATGTGGCGTGCTCAAGCCCCTATGATTTATTTTAAGTAGATACGTATAGATTATATATAGTTAGTCTATATTTACATTTTTAAATTTTCAAGTGATGTCTAAGTCTAGCAGGTCGAGCACAACAGGAATTAAGTTATCAGTATCAACAGGAAGTTTACTTCGTGGGATAAAAAACCACTCCCCGACCTGGTTATATAAGAGGAGAATTTAAGAACTGCTAAGCTAAGCACAATAATTCGATGCTGGTTTAAAGCAACATTGTATGCATGAACATGCAGTTGCTAAACGGAAACCATTATAGAAGAACAAGGTAGAAAAAACAGCAACTTGTCTCACAAATGTAAGTATTTTATTTGGTTACTTTATTAGCTATATATGAATAAGCACTGAACGAAGTGATAATATACAAGACATAAATTACCTGCAACACATGTGTCAAATTATTTTACTTTTTCACCAATTGTGTTTTAGCGAGGTTTTACTTGTCAATGGCAATGAATTCTATATCATCCGTATGGAGAAGCAGCATAACGGAAGTTCCAGGAGATATATTTCAGCGATGTACTTCAGAAAGCTGTGAGTGCGGAGGTAAACTGTTTCATTGCCCACTATGTACTCCAACGAAAATCAAAGGATTGAAACGATGCAAGTTGCTTAAACATGCATTTTCATGCTATTCACTGGAAAACAAGAATCTCTTTTGACGGTAAGCTGTATGTATAGTCATTTTTACCAAGTCATATAGATTACAGTTTACACGGGCAGCAAAAGGATGTGGAATGACCATCGTCTCAGGATAATTATCAGTATAGACTACATACATATAGTTCATTCCATGCATGCATGCAAGAGTTGTTCGTGCAATTACTTGATACAACGAAGGCCGAAATGTTTTTGCATGGAAGTTAATGAATTTTTTACTTCGCCTAATCATAACAAATTTTAAGTCATTGAGGACGTCACTTCATAATGCACTTGGCTATAAATATGTAGCTCATACTTTTAAGTTCTGGTTAATTTTAGAATGGACTGTTTCAAGATCATGTTTTCTTTTACCTATTTTAGAATTTGTCATTTTAAGATGTCGGCTTGAATGCATTTCCTCAGACGGAAGCATGGTTAACAATGTTTCGCATTTTCACTGTTGCTCCTGTGATAGAATTTTCGAGCGAACTGACTCGTTTACTAATCATTTGTATTCCCACAAGAGGCAAACTCTTGCTCGCGACGAATCACTTACGGGACAGTCGCAAACATCTGACTTACAGGATCGTGAATCGCGCACGAGTTCAAGCGACATTAATAACCAGCAAGGTACTTTAGAGTGCGAGTCGTGTTTGAAATGTTTTTCATCCAAAAAATCACTTCGGAACCACATAAAATACATTCATGTCACACCCGATTACATAAATGCTAACAGACATCTTTACGGAGTTTGCGTTGATTCGCGCAAGGGACTATTTTGGTAAGACGCTCATTTAGTGGCACTAGTCATCCTATTCATGTTCTTCACAGCTTTGGAAGCGAAGGTGGATTCTCGTGCGAATTAGACGAATGTAGGGAGGTTTCTAAAACAGCGAGAAGAAGCGGGAATCCAAATTTTACTTGCTGTCATTTGAAAAGCGTGCCGTACGTTTCGGAACCATTCAAAGGGCCACCTAAAATTACACGAAGAGCACTCGAAGAACTAATTGTTAAAATGAAGTGGCTTAAACAAAGCAGAGAACAAGAATGCCTTCAAGCACAAATGGTAGCAGAAAGTGCAAGCGCGCCGCTGATTGTCGAGTTTTGCAACAAAAACGAAACTTCAAACAGATTTCGCCACTTCTCAGTATATGTAGGAGAAGTACACCATTATTCCCGATTTAAAAGAGTGGTAGTGTCGTTCGATATTACTTTAAATAAATGGTCTTGCGGTTGCTGCCGTTTGAAGGTCACCTGCGTCCATAAAGCTATCGGAAAGTGGTATCTATATCAGGTGAGACCAGATGATTTGTCCAATGACAGTACACCACAAGAATCAGAAACCGCGGCAATAAACGACTACGGAAACGATGTCAGTGAAAGTGAATCGGTAGATAATCCAGCCGAAGAAGAGACTCTTTTTGTAAACGTTGGAGAGTACCCCCCAAACGATTTACAGCTAACCAGAATGGTAGAATACATATATTCAGCGAAGAAAATTCCGCCATCTCTACCACGATCATTGACACATGATGCTGATGTTCTGTCCTTTCCACGTGTTCTGGTACCAATAGAAGAAACGTGCTGCAATTGCGAAGGTATTGCCCTTAGCAAAGAGAAATTGATTACACGGAAAGGAAAGATATTTACTTTAACCAAAGTTATTGAAGGTAAGTTTGTGCTAATGCACCCAGAGCTTTCGATAACACATCACGCTCAATATTTATAATTATGCAGTCAGCTACGTTAACATGGCGTTCAAATTGAAAAGGGTATTATTTCATGGTTACGGAATTTCTTTCAAAATGCAAAAATAAACAAAACATGTTATATTTTTCAGATGTTGAACTATGTTACAAATCATGTCCACAATGTGGACTGATATACCGATATCAGGAGTATACGGATGGGCTTCATAACTTTGACGATTACCATTGCTTTAGTCTAAGCTTCCTGTTGCTGTTACGAGCATTTGTCGAGGTAAGCTGGTAGAGAAGCCAAAAATTAGTGACTCCTGCACCTGCAGGACTCGACTGATAAAGTTATATTTAAATTATTGCAGGAGCATACAGCATTAGGAAGAGTCGCATCAGCAGTTGGTAGCACTGCCGGAGTGAAACTTAATCAAACCGTTGTGCGAAATGCTTACTATCACTTCGAAGCTCTTACTGAACACATATACGATTTTACATGTGTGCTCTGCGGAAATCACCCTCCACATCTAAACTGGGATCTCTGCAAGAAAGGGTGTTTCTCAATCGCACGTAAGTGCACCGTCTTGTTCTCTATATATACATACATATATTAAGGCCTAAATACGTTATATATTTTTTATCAAAAAATAGTTAGCGATCTAGATATTCCACCTGAATGTGACGACTCAGACCGTGTAAGCATTAGAGAGTTCTGGAAAAGTGTTGAAGTGATGCATTTAGCAAGAGGTGTAAACGGTAAGTATATATGGACCTAGTTACATCTATATCCGCACGTAATACAAAAATATACTAAATTTGTCAACTTCGCCTGGCTAAAACCTAATAAAACTTTTATACTAATTTAAAACTTTAATTCACACCCAAAATATAGCGAACAAGAGTTCCTCATTTCAAGTGAAGGCCAACTACCAGTTCTGGGCTCCATGGATTGGTCCGCACACAAGAAAAGGGGACAGTGCATATAACACGGAGTACAGAAAGTGTCATAGAATCCCAGAAAGTGACCAGGTGCTTGAGGATATGAATTTAACAACATATTCTGAAGAGGATCTACTGGACATGATGAATTTTGCGCAGGTATAGATTAAAAAACATGAGTTCATACAAATCTCTAAACCAAGCATGCTTGCATGCATTAACGAAGTCTCAGGTTCAGTTATCGCGGATGCAATCTTAAAATTGGCTAAACCTGTCATAACTGTCCCCACAATGATTATTTGAATTAAAAATACGATTCTCAACAAATGTCTCACATAACAAACACTTCACACGATAATATTTGCATTTTTCTAATTTTGCAAAAGCTTTTTGACATGCATGAATGTTGAACCCGTGCATGAAATTAATGTTGCTATATCAACGTCAATGTTTTTTTCTATATAATAGGTCCATGTGTTGCAGAGGTTGTGTGGTCAGCTGGGAGCGAAAGGCAGTTCACATCTACCCAAAAACGACGTTATATCATTCCTGAGAAAGAAGTTGAATGTACCAACACACTACAAAAAGATATTTACAAAGATATGGGGAGCGTCGGGTAAGTGTTTTAATGACTAGTTTTATACGTTTACATGCAGAATTGTAAAGCGACGATTTGACTGATTTGTATGATTTTCCTGCTTGTTATCTTTTTAGGTGGATGGGCGTCAGGCTCTTGTCCGCACAACAGAATTTATGCGATCAAGTTCGTCCTCAGAAGCGAGGGACCGCGGGATTATTCAGACCTTCTTCGATCTTTTAAGTATCCACCTACATTCAACGTATCTGACATCCCACAAAGACTTGCCCACCTGATGAATCGACTTGAGCCAGGTTTTTTCAATCCTAACGAAGGAAAACCCTTTCCTTCATCGGACGAAAATATCCGACTGGCGACAGATGGCAAACTGAAAAAACACTTTCCATGGTGGACATGTTCAGCACTTACCAATGCCAACGCTGGTTTAACGACTGATGACACACATCCAATGACATGAACGAAAGAGCGTTACAGCATGTATGACAGATTCCACGAGAAAAATTCCAACAACCCAGACGATGTGCTTCGACGATTAGTGATATGCCCGCAGCTCCACGCAAATGTAAACAGCGAGTCGCACGAACAACTTCACAGTGTAATGAACAAAGACAACTATTTCCTCAACATGATGCAACCGGCTACACACGTATTCATGAAACGACTTCTTGTTCATCTGCGAAACAAGAAAAAAAACAACGAGGAGATCGGTCGTCAAGAGCAGGCCCTACAAAAGCATGGATTAGTAGCACATACGACTGTTGATTCATTAGGAAGGATCATTATCGCTGGAAATATAGGTAGAGCATTATTGTATTAGGCCTACGCATATATACCTATTCACATTTATATTACAAAAGAGGGGTGTGATACACTGCCTTATTTCCCTGCAGATGCTGCTTTTGGGACACATTCAAGTGACGAGAATACGGTTAGCAGTCCTACTGGCAATGTCAATGAAGCGAGAGTTGACGACCCTTGGGAAAGGGAAGAATTGACGGAAGAACCTGACGTTCGGTTTATACCTCGAGTAAGGATCTTTTATTTATAATTGTGCATGCATATTTATCACTATATATAAGTTGCTTAATTTCTTCATTAAGTACCGTTAGTAAAATTTATTAAATTCATATAATTGTATGTAATCCGAAAATTGTCATTTTCTCTAATCATGTAGCTATAACTATAAAAGAGGTCAGTACTATACCCACTGTTGCACTCTTTCTTTTGAAGGGACTAGAAAATCCACCGAAGAAAAATCGTTGCTTTGTAAACAGCTTATTGCAATGTCTGGCATCGTGTATTCCAGTGAAATCCCCCAGCGGAAGCGACCTTTCGTGGTTGTTGTTTTACTTAGCCCGAACATACATCGAAGTTAGACAAGAAGATGTATCCCAGAAATTGGAGAGCCTTGCGTCTAAACTCGTGAATTCGAACGATCCCGATGATCCAGGCGATTTTCTTTATAGTCTTTTACGCTACACTTCGTCTGTAGGCGATGAAGCACTGCAGAGGTAATGTATAAAGTAATTAACATGTCGTTGAACAGACTTCTATCTGTATACATACAGGGTGAATAAAAAACTGATCACTGTTCAAATACAAATTTGCCGCATATTTGGCGAATCATTAATCGTGAATCTAAAAGAGAAATCTTGTTGGCGCTGGAAGTTAAAATGTATTCTAATTGTTCGAGATGATAAAACTGTTATCAACTGCGCCTGTTGGAAATTCTTCAATTAGGAAAATTATTATGAGCATCAGTTTTTTATACTCACCCTATAAATTATTCAAAAAAGACAAAAGTGATATAGCAACAATATTATATACAATTAATTTAGTATAATACCTATCTGTTGCTTGACTCAATTATAAATGTTCCGATCTATTGATATCGCATGGCATCAATATAAAACATCCATTCCATTAAAAAATCAGTGCCTGTCGTGGAGTTGAAAGGGTGCAGTTAGTATGCCGAAGCTGTGGAAAACATAACGAGCACCAGGATGTTGCCTTCACAGTTTTAAACCTGCCAAGTAGAGAAAAATGTCTTCAAACGGTGGAAAATATGCTGCTAAACAACTTCGAGCTGGAAGATAAGGATCTTAAATCTTCATTTTGGTACGGATATATAGTATAGCATTTCGTCGTTAGTATAATATACATTGTGATTATGCTTTAGTATATACGATAGACTATTGAGACATGTTGATTAATTATAGTGTCTGTGAAGAAAAAGAGAAAGATATCGTAGAATTGCGACAGCCAATGAAACTACCATCGAGTCTAATTTGCAACATCCTCCCAGTAACAAAGAATGGGGAAAAACAGCATGTTCGCCTTAAGTTACAGGAATTAATTGGCGTTCACGACTTGTTGGGACGAAGACATACATACAAACTTTCAGCTTTTATAGTAAGTATAAATGTATATTCAAACGATTTGAAAAGCGGGCTTGATTTCTTTTGTACGGGCTTCGCGTTGACGTGCTCAATTTTAATTGTCTAACATTTAAAAATGTCTCATATAGACACACTATGGAATTGATGCAAAAGAGGGTCATTTCAACTGTACGGTTTTACGAAATAAAAGGTGGTTTCTAATCGACGACAAACTGGTCAAGCCACAACAGTTGTGCGAAACCATCTTCAACGGAGACGTATATATGCTGTTTTACAGCACAGAAGGTTTGCTATAAATACGTTTTGAAAAAACCTAAAAGTATAAGTGTAAGATCAACTATATATAAACATACGACAGACCATTCCGACAAACGTTTACCTAACTGTCACAGCCATATTGGATTTTTATTAATTATTATCCTTTAAGCGTGGTGTAAGCCTATAATCAACCTTTACTGGTTACGCTCCTGAATGTTAGCAGTCTTCATTTTAATCCAAATTTAAAAAGATAGGAATGTGTTTTTTATTTAGAACATTTTGAGGTTCAAATTATGACTGATGAAAGTACATCGATATCAGAGCAAGGTGCATATTTTTATATTTTAAACTTTTTGTTGGCGATTTGATCCCCGTAGGCGCGTCTTGGCTTGAGCCGTTATATATATTATATATCTTATAAATAAAATTCTAAATGGACATCTGATCTCGAACCTATTATATAACTAACGATACTATACAGTACGATTACTTTAATCGGTAAAGAAACGTTACTTCTTGATATATAACGCATTGTTAAGACCGAAAAACGGTAATAAATTCTTAATCAATGGATAAAACAATAGATAATTTATCTTATTACTCAAAATATGTTTTAGACCAGATAAAGGATAAAATGGAAGTAACGACACCTCCGAGTCCACCTGAATGTGTACAGGACAGTACACTCACAGAAAAGGTTTTGTTGAAACCATATCCTGCATGATCGTTGTTCGATTTACCAACGCTCTAAACGTTTTAGTATAAACAGTGTATAAAATCCATTCATTCCTTGACGTAGGTTGACAGGTATTGGGACTTGCGCAAGGGACATCAGCTACATCACATTGTATCACACATCAACGGAACGCCGTTAATGTATTACGACATCAAGCTGCTTGACCAAGCGCCTTCCGACTATGAAAAAACATTGCTTGAACAATACGCAACCAAACATGGAGAAACGTATAACGAAGGATGGCTAAATGATAAGGTTATCACTGGTGTAATTGATATAGTATTCCGAGAACCCACATAGTTACAGTAACTCACATCATGAATAAACATGTTTTTCTATTGAAATTTAGATAATAAACAATTTTCTAATCGACGTACAAAGAAAATCTCAGGTAGGGGAAAGTAAACTACTGTCTGTACTGAAACTAGAATAATAACTGCAGATAGTGTTCTTAACAGTTTATTATATGAACAAGAGTAGTTTACTGGGAACTAAAACACTAGTGGAACGCTCATACGCCACTACATCAGGGACCAGGTGCGCGTATTTTTCGTATGTCACGCTGAGGATTGAGGAATAACATTCAAAATATTTTTCGCTTAAATCAATATAATAAACAGAACATTATACGGTTCGCTTGAAGATATGGCACTCGTGTCAAAAACAATTTCTCACTCGTTCGGTGCGCTCACTCGTGAGATTGTTTTTGCTACTCGAACATAAAATCCGTGCTATATCCTCTATATTTAAATAAGACCACTTGGTATTCCTTATTTTGTGATATATATTAATCAGCTAAATATTTATCTTTACTAGGGTACCAATCGTGTAGCAGTCATGAGCAGCTTCATGTACACAAAACTATGTAAATATGGCGTCCATTCCATAACGAAATGGATTCAAAAGGTATGAATTCGTTTCTTTCAAAATAATGCTTTATACTGTATATTGCTCAACGCTGATTTCTGTGTGGGATCTTTCAGAACCCATTCTTTAAAGCAGACCTGTGCTTCATACCAATAAATTTGGACAATAATCACTGGAGTCTTGGGGTAAGTAATTTTTTAAATGCGAGTATAATAGCAAAAAAAACAGGGTTTTTTATAATTTTGTAATGGAAAGTAGTAAACATAAAGACTTCATTTAAAAACAAGTGCCTTTTGAACTGCGGTAGAACCTGCGATAGAATACAATATACATACAGTATATGCCTCTGTTTCAAAAATTTAGAAACAAATATTTATTTAGTCAGGTTCCTAAAAAAATAAATTCAACTCAATAAATTTACGTTTTAGGCAATACTTTTCACTTCTGGACTGTTGTTCTAAATTAATCCTTATAGGTAGTGGACTTTACTTCATGTACCATATTTCTTTATGACCCTATGGCTATGGCGATGTTAAGAGAAGAGAGAAGCTTCCACAAAAAAATTAGGTAGGCCTTCAATGGACAGATAAATTAGGTGTTAAAAAATGTTTTGACATGGATGTATTACTTAACATTCACTCAACTTATAGATTACTGATAGCACACCTTCAAGCAATATGCCCAGAAATGAGTCCACCAGATGTTAAATATTTTGATAACTCCACAAAATTTGAGCCCAGACAACTTGATGGAAGTTCATGTGGGGTTTTTGTATGCATGGTAAGTGAAAAATACATTTGATATAAATTATCTAATATATTATAGTTATGTTTTTCCCATTGCTTCAATTACTGTAATGTCTAGCGGCATATTTTGTTGTTAGGTAGCTGATTATATGGTCAATGGTTTGGATGTGAACTTTACACAGGTAATTATATCGAAGTACAATTTCTGGTAACTACATTATTTAAACCACAGAAAAACCCCTGCTGTATTTTAATATGTTTAAATTTATGATAAATCATATTGCATTTTTTACCTAAAGGAAGACATACTGTTTAAGGAAATACATGGCAGTTCGCCTAGCAAATCCTGAAAAAAACGTCCAAATACCAATAAGGTCAGTTAAATGGATGTCACTTAAAATCTATTGTTGACATAATGGAATTTGTTGAGAACTATTCTCACTAACACATACTCTAAATTTTGGGTAGCTAGTAAAAGACAATTCATTTACAAGTACCAATTGCTTTTAGGAAACAAACTGAACATTGCAATGAGGATGACCATGCCACATACACACTTAAAGCAAAGGTTAGAAATATTCTGTCTCTATCAGATGATGGCTTAGAGTCTGTCTTTAAAGAAGTATTAAAGGAAGGTGATAAAGGATTCTTAACAATTAGCTTGGTTTGTAAGCGATTTAGACAGATAGTGGGAAGAGACTCTTTTAGACGCACCACTCACTTCGCCTGGTTAAACAGTGTGTGGGAATGGAATTCATCATCAAAAGAATTCAAAGAGGAGAATTACAAAATGTATGAAATAAAAACTTGTTTTCAATGTGGCATGTCATTTAAAGAAATGTATGGCTTTATTGGAAATGGTAAATTTGGCGAGTTCAGAAAATTTTACTCAACTCTTGAATATCCAGGATTCTGCAGTAAAGAGTGCATTAAAGAAAGCTAATTAATAAAGTTGGAAGTAATTACATCAGGACTATATATGGCATAAACCTTTAAGAAAACATCATGTTTCATAATATCTGTTGAACATAATACCAGGCTGATATTTTCACAGATAGCTGCCACTGTTAAGCCGGTTTTCCACAAGCAATATTTTTGCGAAGCACTTTATTCCTTTGTATTTGAGCAATTTGTTTCAGATGGTTGCAGTTAAGAGCTCTGGAACAAATGTAAAATGTCGATTCGCACGAATAATATCGCTAGTGGAAAACCGGCTTTAGACAGCCTTTGATGGTCATTGTGTACATAATATACTGACAACTCCACAAATTTATCACAATCTTCTTTCACCTATGTCCTTATGAAACATTTCAATTGGGCTTTGCTAAAGCCCAAGGAAATTTTCATTGTCTTTGAAAATATCAACTTAAAATTTGTTTGTAAATATATGCTAGTATTTAGTTGAACATTGTTGTCCATTTATAATATTCACATCTATATAAATCACATATAAAATATTCACAATTATATAGTTTTAATATATATTTTTTACTTACACGATCTGCGCTGTATTTTCCCTTAGTAGTCTCAGACATTTTCTATTGGCAATGCTTAAACTCCCAATCCTTCCTTAAGCCAACTTGTCATATAGATCTCACTTTTTAAATATCTTTAAAATGGTCCGACATGTTGAATTAGAAAACAGATTTTTACTCAATAATGGCGGCATTGCATATCACTCCTCTATGTATCACTCCATATATGGCCGGGGCTCTCTCGTGTAATTGGGTCTTCTCGTGCGGGTCTTCTCCGGTAATTGACACTGCCAAACCCTGCTCGATCTGTGTGTGTTTGTGGTCATGGCTTTTTAGGATACCCAAAAGGTCGAAATGTAGAGAGAGGACTGGGACTGAGTTTGCTCTTTAATTTATGTGGTCTTTATGATGTTGTTGACAATACACTGGAGTCGGAAAATTAGTATAAAATGTATCAATTCCGAAGACCATTATATCTGTCCCGAAGACCTATTTGCGAGTATTTTAACGGTTGTATTCACGATTTGTGGCGATATTTCATGGTAAGTGTGAATGCTGATTAACTGTAGTACGAACATGAATTCGTTTACTCCGTCGTCTCCTTGTACCATTCGCTGCCATCATATTTTGTATAGAATATTAGTGTATACAATATAACCTTGTTTACATTTTGTCGATCAGTTTGTTTTTATTAAAAGATTTAGTTCAACTAATAAATTTAACAATTTTGTAGGCCGGCTTATGATCATTTGGGTGTTTATCATGTGGGAACATTGTTATTGCATTGCTTCTAAAGCAATTATGAAGGTGGGCTCTCATCTTGTTTTGGTGAAATCTTACTGATACTGGATCTATTCCACTGGCAACTGCTACACAGTTTGCAATAGCAAAAAGACCACAATCATTGAAATTTCTTTGCAATTGAGCACGAACAAGTTTCACAATAGGAGGGGGTGAACTTTGTGAAAGATGTGGATATACAGTCTTTAACTGTTGTACAAGAGTTGTTGAAAAGTTGAGATAAAGGGAATCATAGACTGTCAATGTACCATTCATGAATGCAGACATCACCCAGTGCTTGATATTCAAGTTGTGTATTTGTATTCCATCCCTTTTAATTTGATTTCTGACTTTACCACAAGAAACAAGCAAAGTGTCTATGAATCCTTCAAGGTGAGGGAACTGGGATTTCATAATAAATTGACAAGCATATATGTGGTTATCTGAGAGCCAGCCATTTGGTGTCAATAGAACATTCTCGTCAAAGACTGTGAGATGCAACTTAGCAATCCATGTTTTGGGTTGATCATTGGTGCTGCTGTTATCAATCTTTGGTAATTTGTTACCAGTGCTCTTATTGAAACTTTTAACAGGAACGTTCACTTTGTAGCTCTTTCGTAACACTTCTGCAGACTGACCAACTCGCCCTGTGTAACGATGTTTTGGCTTGCCGTATTTCCCCTTGGGTAGTTGCTGTATTTTTCTTTTTTTTCTAGCTGGCCTATCCTCTTTCATAGAACCAGTTGCTTTCCTTTTAGGATTTGGTTTGTCATTTGTTTCAAGTGCAAGACCATTGCAATCAGATGGCAGTGATTGCTTAACATCATCCCAGACTTTACATAATGATTCCTCTAAATTCTGGATTGACAAAGTGTCTTTTAACAAGTATGTTGCACTTGTCAACTGCTTGAGGATCTCTCTGCATTTTTTTTTATGCTGTGTCATCTTGAAAACACGACGTTGAGGTAAATTTGTTAACCTGGCCTTGCTATTTTTGTCTAATTGCATTTGGTTGTTGTCTGCAGCATCATCAAGATATTTTTTATCTGTTGGCTGTACCTGACTTTCTCCATCAATTACCAGGCCATGCTCATTTTTGTTATTATCATGTATTTGCTCTTCAGCCAGTTCATAGTTGTTCGGTGACCCAGTCTTAGGAAAGCACAAATCATCAAGGCAAAATAAAGGGTTGTTCTTATACAGTGATGAAAGGGAGTCCCATTTCCATTGTGTATGTTGGAATACTGCACAGAAATGTTTACATGGTAAGTGATGTTTTTGCCAGTCCAAACATTGGCAGCTGGGATATGTGGATTTGTTACCAAATATAACAAGATATGCTTTTGTTGATAAACTGCTTTTAACTTTGAATTCACCATTATTTTCCAGCTGTGTTATGTTGTGTGGTCCTATGGCTCCTTCCCAACGCTTGATAATGTGGTTTACCATATCTCTTGGCCGGTTGTTCAAAAAAGGTGGGAGAGCACTGTTATACTTGCTATATCCATCGCTATATCTTACATTCAGCTGTACATACCTGAAAAAAGGAAGACATAGAACAAATTCTTTTATTGCTTACCAATAGCTCAGTACATTTACTTTATTTTTGCTGTCAACGATAGATTTTGCCTAAAAATTATATTATTTGTATAGAATTAGCATTGCCGTATTACTTACTTGGTGTATGACTCTGGAAGAAATTGTTGTGTTAATATTGTTAACATTGCACTTAATGTGTTGTTCTTCTCACGCTTCAGGTAGTCATACTTAAAGGCTTCATTTTGGCGTTCAATTCCATTGTTTGTATGAACAGCAGTTATTAAATCATCTCCACGGAAAGCTTGAGCCCATTTCTAGATAATGGAAAACATAACTCTTTGATAAAAAAGGTAGGATCTAATTTCTTGTAATATATATATATAAATATATATATATATATATATATATATATATATATATATATATATATATATATATATATATATACCTCTGCTTCTGGTAACCAAGTATTTGAAAACCATCTTGATAGTTTTTCATTCTTGTTAAACAATTGGCTACTTTGAAAAGCATCTAAAGCTTCCTTATAGGCATGCATGGTTTGAGCATGTGCTATTTTACGTAGCATTCCCAAACATTCTTCCCGTCTACCAGTCACACCATTATCAATTTTTGATGTCCACTCCATCCATGCCTTTTCCCTGTGGAAATCACAGATAAAGGTTCTTGAACCTAAAAGAAATTTCAAGTTTTTAGGCTTAAATTGAGTTGTGTGGGTGTATTACAATATAGCAGAAATAAGATGCAATATGTAGGTCAATTACAATATTACATAATTTACATGCCTGGAAAAACTCTCTTCAAACCATTGATTTCTACTTCTGAGAAATCTACCATAAAATGTTTTGGGTGCCATTCTGGATTCCAATTGTTGAACACTCTCAAAGCTTCAACCAAGTCGTCTGTGCTTTCATATTGTGTTACAAAAGAACCCACTATCTGGTAACAAACATTGGTTCGCACACACAAGAACCAAAGGGCAAGGGCATACTTTGTCGTCCGATATGTTGCATCTAGAAGACACATGTCATTTCCATATCTTGAGAGAAGCCTAGACTGCTCCTTTGTTTGATGACAGAAGAGTAAAGGCTGTTGAATATCATCACTTTGGTTGACCTTTACTTCATCATCATCCTCTGATATTTCTTCACTTTCCTGACTACTACTCTCTTTCACACCACTGCGAACATATGGCCTGAAAAAGTACTTGTCATTTGGATTTTTTTGCTGCCATTCTTGGATTAAGATTTCAACGTTTTCTTGATCAATTAAAGAATACTGTTTTGTTGCCTTTGCTCTAGTCATGCAGTTAGCTATATCCTTCCTTGTTGGGTAGAAGCTTCGTCGTGTTTTCGATGGAACCACCCCATTTCGAAACAGTTCATGTCTAACAAAATGATCTAAGTGGCGTTTCATTTCTGTTACACTTGATACTCCTTCCTCAACAAGGCATTTGATCTTGCTCATTAGTCTTGGATCAACTGGTTCTCGAAATCCAGAAGCCTAATAAAATTATATTTTTCAAACTCATGAGGCAGTTAGAATGTTGTGTATTGTTTTTTATGTATATATAACATACTTCCCCGCTTAGGTGATTCTTGTGTTCCAATGGTGAAGGCAGTTTAATGTAGAAGCGATGCTCTCCTTTCACTTTTTTTTCCTTGATAATATTTCGTAGTTCTTTTGTCTTCTTTTTCCTTTCATAGGCAGTAGAGTTAAACATTACCTGTGGTCAAGAAACAATCTCAAATCAATGTTATGATGATATTTCACAAAGAAAACCATGCAACACAGATGAATGTTGAAAAACCTGTGTTATCAAACATGCTTTCTCAACAAGCAAAAAAGTTATTAACCCATGTACTGTATGTGGATGTTATTGAATTATTTGTACACATTTATGAAAAAGATCTAAGCAAAACAACTAAGTAAGCCTTACTTTCACATCAGGATATTTAACTATATGCTGCACATGGATGGTTGCCGGACAGTCTAATTTTTTGCTTTCCTGGACTAAAAATTTGTTTTGTCGGAAACAGTGATCTTGCATCTACATGAAATATACAAAATATATATGTATCAGAGATGCTTCATAAACAAATTAACATGAAAGAAATTTGTTAATCCTTTTTAAGTGCAAACCAGTGATTGTTAAAAGTTGTTCTATTAGGACAATTTGCAGCACTGAGTGGGCAGAGCCCCAATTAGCCTAGGGATGTATAGGCAAAGGGGGTGGGCCCCTGCCCTAAAATTGGCCCTATTAAGAATTGCCTGATTAAAAGTGCCTGTTATCAGTGCCCTGATATCAGCTTTAATATCACTGGAAACAAAATATGTAGATGTAAGATTTTAGATTTTCTACCTTTTCTTTCTCTTTTCTTGCCTTGTACTTTTCTTTTGCCCTTTTATTTTTATCTCTTCCTTGGTGACAGACTAACACCTTTTCTCCCACATAGTTGTAAGGACTACCATCAAAATTAATGTCCACAGTATTGTTAGTATTAATTCTGCTTTTCCAAAAAAATCTCTTTACTTTAGCATCTTCCTCTAAAGCTAAAATATAATATTTAATATGCTTTTAAATTGAAAATAACTGAACGTATCGACAGGTCTGAGTCAAATTTTATGCGATGTACGTACCTAATTTACCATATTTTCCATCCTTTTTGTCAAAAACAAAACGAGTTAAGGGAGCGGTCATAAAGTAACTGCTAGGGTGGGCCGGAGGAAATAAAGATGGGCCATGAAATTATTTTCATTAGTTTGGGTGGGCCATCAATTACTTTTTGTGAAAATGGATGGGCCATGAAACAAAATACAGCCTGTTTGCACTCAATACATACTATAAGCGACGCTGCATGGTTGGTTTGATCAAAGTGATAGACACGCTGTACATTAACATATATAGCAGGATGGGTCATGAAACTTTTCCAATGACTTATGATGGGCTTTTAGATCTTTTCTAGATTTTCAGGATGGGCCACCGAATTTTTTTAGGAAAACAGATTTTTCCCTCCGGCCCACCCTAGCAGTTACTTTATGACCGCTCCCTAATGTCCCCCTTTCGTAATTTGCAATGACCAATTCGACGTCCTCTTCCTTCGACACAAAACCCTCATAATCGTTCTGCCAAGCTCCAAGTATGTCTCCCTCGTCAGATTTGGCGTAAGCCATTTATTTCTATTTTTTATTATATCTCGTATGAATAAATCAGCCCCAACGATTATTTTTTTAGTTTATTTACGAAATATTTACTAATTTGGTATTAAATATCAATAAGACTTATTTGAGTAATTGAATTTCCCGCGCTATGCGCGGTTAAATTAATGTGGTTACAGCAGAGTTGGAATAAATTATCAAAATACATAAATTAAAGAGCAAACTCAGTCCCAGTCCTCTCTCTACATTTCGACCTTTTGGGTATCCTAAAAAGCCATGACCAATAAATTATCAAAATACATAAATTAAAGAGCAAACTCAGTCCCAGTCCTCTCTCTACATTTCGACCTTTTGGGTATCCTAAAAAGCCATGACCGTGTGTTTGTGGGTGCCACATCTTCGGCAATCGTCGGATATACGAAAGATGACGAACGGTACGTTCTACTTCCGGAAAATTTCGTTGTTTTCGAAGGACGGAAGCAACCGAAGTTACACGTTTGTCAAATTTTAAAGCGAAATTGAGTACTTTAAGACGAAAAGCGGTGATCGGTGAGCGTTGAATCTACAACTACAAAGTTACACTAATAGGAAATAAATAAAACATTAACTTATTCGGCAAATGGTAGTAACAAGTTGCCCTGTTTTATAACTTATGACTTATAATGCAATATTTCACCTGTCAATTTCTTGCTTGTGGACATGCAGCTATTAAACCAATACCTTTAATATTGCAATGGTAGTAACAAGTTGCCCTATTTTATTATAATTTGGCAAATGGTAGTAACAGTTGCCTTGCTTTATATTATTTATCAATATTTCACCTGTCAATTTCTTGCTTGTGTACATGCAGCTATTAAACCATACCTTTAATATTGCAAATGGTAGTAACAAGTTGCCCTTTTTATAAATTATAATTTGGCAAATGGTAGTAACAAGTTGCCTTGCTTTATAATTATAATTCATATTTCACCTGTCATTTCTTGCTTGTGGACATACAGCTATTAAACCAAATATATTACCTTAATGCAATGGTAGTAACAAGTGCTCTGTTTTATAAATTAATTCGGCAAATGGTTGACAAGTCGCCCTGTTTTTAATTATAATGCAATATTTCACTTGTCAATTTCTTGCTTGTGGACATGCAGCTATTAAACCAAATGCTTTGTAGTTCAAAAAACAAAACTGTTAACAAAAGTGAATTTCAACTGATCAAAAATCTTTAAATATTGTTCATGTACATAGATAAGTCCTTAAAAAATGTTAATGCGAAACGTTGAAACAATTTTGGACTCTTTGTTATGTGACTGTAAAATGATCTGGCAAATCAAGTAGTTTATCCTCGATGAATCTTTGTTAAGATCTTTCTCCTTCTAAACTAAGCTTTATGTTATCAGACGATGTGTGCCACCATCCCGGAATCTTACTCTCCTTTTTGTTCTGTTCACCTATTCTGCTTTAAAAATTTCATTTCCTATCTCTTGTAAAAATGTTTTTATATATGTTTTGATCTGTCCTAAAATGTATTTAATACAATAATTATTAATAATCGACTCTGTTATAACTGTATTCAACCAGCTAACTATAGGGCATTTATTCCGTTGTCTATGGCATTAGAACATAAGACTAGAAAATAATATTTTATTGCATCAGTTGAAATTTACTTGCCACTATAGTGTTTTACTAATGTTTCACAGGCTACCCACATGTACGCATTGCGTACCTATTTTCTAAATAAGAAATTACCTCGGCCGGCTGGTAGTTAACTAGTCGACACCGTACATGAAAACATGTCCATTTGAACGATTGAATTTAGTATTTTTTAATAATCAAAACCAATCAAAACCAGTCCCCCTAGACGTCTCTTTCTTTTCTCCTGTCTCCAAAAGCTAAGAGCGATTTTAAGGTAATATTTTGGTTCAGAAATCCTTTAATATTTTATCCATCCGTTAAGATATGAACTTTATGTTGAACTCAGAGCTTTCTTGGGATGTTGTCGAAATGAAAGTTGAAATTTTTTTTATTCCGACGAAAATATTCACGGTTAACGCTGATGATATGGCGACAAAATGCAAGCAATCTGTAATGTCGCCTCGATACCTTGCCGACATTTTAATATAACAGGACTTTAACGCTTTTCTGATAACACATGAAGCTGGTTTGACTTGTTTAGTGGCACGTTTACTGTTTAACCAGTTTTAAAATCAGAAATTTTTATTGTTTTTGAACACTTGAGAATAATTTTCGAGGATGAAATTGATTTAGAGATTTACCTAGGTTCACAGTTTGTCAAGGGTACATTTTATGTAATTTTATAGTGGCTAGACTTTTTGCCATCTTTTGGTTAAGTTCATGCCTAGTAGTTTTATGACATTATGTCTTGGTCAGACATTTAAACTACTTCACACACTCTCAATGATATGTGTGAGCATTCCATTTCCTTCAGACTTTCCTTTCCTCAGATAAGACATTAGTTGCATTGGAAAAAATGTGTGCTTCCATTCTCCTTGGATGATTAGAAATTCTGGTTGAAAAAGAAAATAGTACAAGGAGTTTCTCTTGGAAATTGCCAATCTTTTTAATGCAATGCCTTTTCCAACCAAAATTTCTGATTCCCCACGGTCTAAATAGTAAGCTTCAAAGAGTGACTAATAAAATTTCATATCATTATAAATCCTAGATATTAAATTAGATTTTATACACATACTTTATATACAGTACCTTGTTTACTGTCACATTGTTGTGTGTCCCAAACCAATTATCGTTAGTTATTCATATTTATCTGTACTATATTCACATTCATCAATTGTAAAAGATGTTAATATTCATCATTACAGTCAAAAGATATGTGTTCTCATCTGTACAATAATAAATATTGCTTCATTTTGTTCAGGATGTTGATTCCCAAGAAGAATAGAACAAATATTTATGAATACCTCTTCAAAGAGGGTGTAATGGTTGCAAAGAAAGATTTCAATGCACCAAGACATCCTGAGCTGGAGACTGTTCCAAATCTACAAGTCATCAAAGCTATGCAGGTAAGTCACCTGCTCATTGCATAATTATTGATGTGCACCAAACTAGCTAGCATGATTTTACATTATTATCTATCACTTGTCAAAGTTTGGTCTTCATAGCGTTTCATTAGTTGAGAGCAAATCACGCAAGAGTGACAAAATTTTGATGTTGTCTGTGCTACCCCCACAGAGGGAGATAACTCTAAACAACTTCAATCACCTGCAGTACACTTGGACATGCAACCTTTGGGACTGTTTATCCATTTGAAATTGTCTTTTATGATTTATGAATAGTTTGTTTTTTACCTTGTTGTTTGGTTCTTCACTTTTTCTTTGACCAATGGTATAATAAAAAACTTATTTATTTGCCTCATGAAATATTGACCATTTATATTACAGCAGTCCCCCGCTAACTCAAACTCCTCGTTAACTAGAACTAAATCCAATCCCCCTTGAATTTGACAGTGTTTTTTATAGTAATTTACTCCACTTCACTTGAACTGGCTTTACTCGCTTTACTCTACTGTATTTATATTAGCAATTTATAGACAATTCATATTAGTTAACATTAGCTTGCATTATTTAGTCTCTAAAATCTCGAGGGTATGTCACAGAACAGTTTGCTTGGAAGCATTATTACTGGTACCTAACAAATGAAGGTATTGTTAGCTATTATACATATAGTCTTAGAAATGAAATGGAAGTTTACATGCATTAACAAATTAATTTTTACCTTGGAAAAACATTTTCCTTTCAATGATACATTTTTTATTTACCACAAAATGGTCAGATACATTTCAAATAACCTAGTTCATTTTGCAACTCTGTCATAAACTTGAATTATAATGTATGTAACTATGTTGGCTTTCATAAAATGCAGCAGACCTACTTTTTTCCACCTAATAAATTAGTATTTCTTTGTCGAAAAAACATTTTGAATCACACTTATTATTTATTATTAAAAACATTTTGAAATTATAATTGTTATTAAAAACACTGTACTTATTTAACATTTTCTTCAAGATATTGGTTTTTAACTGGATATTACCATCAAAATTTAATGAAAATTGTTTTACTGATCAAATGTGAAATTCAGAGCAAATTATTGTTTTCAGGCATCACATATCTGCGTGATTATCTAAACCTGCCTCCCGAGATTGTTCCATCCACATTAAGACGACAAACAAGGACGGAAGGATCCCGTGCCAGACCAAAGGGTTTGTCCTCAATTATTCATAATTTTATCTCATGTATGTAAATATATTGCATTTTGTGGCGATGTTTTAAATGCAATTGTTTTTGCGATAATTGCGGAAGAGGAACTTAAGGTATCAACATTAAACTATTTATCGTAAAAACGTTTCTAGCAATTTTTTTGACACACAATTTATATGTGAAATTGAAAGTTGGAAAAAAGTCAAAAGTGCCTGATAATCAGCTGTAAAAAGAAGAAAAAAGGTCTTAAATAATCCAGACCATAAATTACATAGCCTGTAACCAGCGTTTAATAATATAGTAGATATTGTCTTTGACAGAATCGTGTATTTATTGATCCTTGGTATTCTACCAATTGATTCAGAAAACCCCTCATTCGTAACCCCATATATTTGTCTATGCTGTAGTAGGTAAATTCTGCATTTTATCAGCCATTCCCCGTTCTTTGTTTTAAAGATAGCTTGTCTAGAAATATGTTAAGATATGGCACTAAAATTTTATTAGTTGTGTGGTAGCGTGCTCTGTCAATCACGTTTAAAGAAAAATTATGTTTTTTTAGTTTAGTAAATAAGGATACGTTTAATTGGAAATTTACTGTAAAGCATTTTCCAAATAATGTTAGAACCTTTATTCTCCTTGTTTTACTATACCTAATTGTCGTTACTATTTTTTCGTGTCTGAGAACCAGTTTTTGTGTTAATCATAATTTTATTTACAGAAGGCCCTCGTCCATCTGGTCCAGCACCAGACACCGCTGACCGTGAAGCCTACAGACGTGGACCGAGCGATGAACCCAAAGGAGGGGCGGGAGCAAATTTCAATCCTGAATTCGTAAGTATAGTCCTCGATTATTTTTTGTGTTTTTTATCACTGCATATATCATCACAGCAGAAAAGTAGTGGGGGGGTTGGGCTGGGATATGATAAAATTGTCCTAACAGGAAATTGGTAATTTAATGATGGGTTGTTGTAGGGGGTCTGTAGGACCTCCTAGAGAAAATTTTCTGTATTTTTGAGTCCCTATGACTTGATTAGTTGATTTCCTGCATTTTGGGTGACAATTACTGACGAATCACTTATTTATCACTGCACATTTCTCATTTTATCACTGCACATTTCTCATTTTATCACTGCACATTTCTCATTTTATCACTGCACATTTCTCATTTTATCACTGCACATTTCTCATTTTATCACTGCACATTTCTCATTTTATCACTGCACATTTCTCATTTTATCACTGCACATTTCTCATTTCATCACTGCACATTCTGCTTTTATCGCTGCACATTCTACTTTTATCACTGCACAAATTGGTTATCACTGCCCGCTAAAATTAGGTACGCGACGTGTTATCCGAACTTTAAATCGAAACAGTAAGAAATTAAACAACGGTGTCAGTTAAACTGTTTATCTGCATTTTTAACTTTCGTTGTGCTCTGAATTAAAATATTGCTAACTCGAGGCAGCAATTCAAAACGCAAAGTTCGTGTTACATTCTACGGGACGTATTGCCATTTTCTAGAACGAAAGACGATTTCATTCTACCGAGTGCAAATTATGCATATAGTCAGTTTCATTTCGAATGTACGAACCCTAATATAACTACAGCAATGTCATTCTAGAAATAAATCGGTTAATGTCACTTCTAAATATTTTATATATTCTTTCAGCGTGGAGGTTTCGGTCGAGGTCGTGGGTTTGGTGCACCGCCATCTTAAAGGATATTTTGTAGTTGAATAAAAAAACATTCCTCATCAACATTAATTGGTTTGTTGTTGTTTTTTGTTATTAATCAGCTATGCCCGTTTTTCCTGCGATTTGTGCGATTTTCTTCTTGTGGTAGATGTGAAAGAGTGAATTAGTTACTGATGTTCACGCAAGAGCTCTTCATAACATTCGTATCTAGTCACTCGTTCACATCTACCAAAAGAAGAAAATTGCACATGCAATAAAATGCCGCATGAAATGCAAGTGTAAACCCGCCAAAAATTATTAAAGAGGATTATATTATAGGATTTAATCAAAATTATGCGAAAAAACGGGCGATTTTGAATCGATTGAAAACAAACTCTATCTGGCTTTCATACTGGCCGCAGCAGGTTTAGTTCGTTTGCAGCTGTGGCTCTTCGCCATTTTCCCTATTACTCTGGCGTAAGCGACGGAGTGGAAAAATGGCCAAGGTTTTGTTTTTTTGTTGGTATTTTTTATTTTTTGTCGTAAGTGTGTTTAGGTACCGAGGAAAGCTGTCGGCTAATTTGTACCCAGGGCTTGACCGTATATCGTAAGTCGTCACCGTAGCTCTACGTTAATTTTCTCTCGCAATAGTTGTGGTGCGCTTATCGAATCTTGGGCCAATTTTCCGATGCGCTACTCAAATAATAGACCTTCTCGATAATTACGTCACAACATTTAACATAGTAAACATACAACGTTTTAAATTTAGAACCACCACATGAAATGGATTTGAAATTTTACTCTCACGAGCCATGTGCAAAGATGCAAAACATCCTTCTTCAACACATGCATAAAACTTTTTTTGTTTTGACCAATAAATGTGGAAATAAGTTATTTTATATTATATTATTTAAAATGAAAAATTATTTTTCAATGCGTGGGTTATAAAAGGATGTTCTGCATCTTTGCACATATGCTTGTGAAAGTAAAACCATCTTATTTAAGATGGTTCTAAATTTTAATGGTATTTAATGGTTCTATTTTAATAAAATGAATAGAATATCGCTGCTTTCACCGTGGATGTGGTCGCATACGATGTTCGCACACGATTAGAGGCGATTCTGTAATGGAGAATCAGCTTAACACAGCATCAACCATTTGCATTCGTGAAAACATAACACATTTATTATACGCTCGTAATCAGGTATAAGGTTATCACATGAACGAAAGTTTTTAATATAAGCACGAATTCCAAAGTGTAACACAATAAAGTGAAAGTCATTACATTACTAGAAATAAATTGCATGCAAAGTCCCTTCGCCTGAAGCAATAAACATATATTTCCATCACTGAAATTTTATAACACTCGTTTCTGCTGAATGATCGAAGTCGTAAAGTAAAATCCTAAATCTTGGTACGATTATAAAGTCTACTCTCGAGCTATCAAATTCGACTATAACGTCAAAGAGGTGTCATACATTTGTTGATATATCCACATATTAAACTTAATACTAAATACTTGCATGCTTTGAAATACAAAATCCACTCATTTACCTGTTCAAAACCACTTGGAAAATGCTTCAAAATCGTAGATTTTTTACCGTAGATTTTGAATAAAAGTTTTTCTATCCGAAGGCATCTTTAATATTATATTTTAATTAATTTTATGAGTCAATTTTTCGTATATTTTTAAGACTATCCAAATGAAAAATATTATTTAAAAAAAGTTTTATAATTCAAAATATCAATTATGCTGACGTGAACCCAAATTTTAATTTAGCCAATCGCACGTTTGTAAACGTTTGCTAGTTATCAGTTTTAACTCGTCTTAAATTCACGCATGCGCATAACTTACAAAAACGCCCAACGTCCATGACATAATGGCGGACAACTTTGATTTCGCATTTGCATTCCCGGGCGTATATACTCCGTGCGGAATTAGTACCCTCGCCCGGTGCTTCGCACCGGCTCAGGGATTAAACTTCCAATTTTGTAATAATAAAAGCGCCTGCAGAGAAGGCAGTGTGTGCTGACTGAATGTCGAACAACATTTAGTTCGCAACGCTTCTAAATGAATATATGAACTAAAGTGTTTATGTTCAGAAACTTTTCTTTATATTTGTCATTAAAATCGACGGGAAGATTCCTAAATTTACCATAAATTTCGACGAGCCCGAGACACCGTAATCACCCTGACGAGCACAGAAAGACCTTAACCAGCACGGAAACAACCTAAAGAGCACGGAAACACCTTAACGAGCACGGAAACAACCTAAGGAGCACCGAAACACCTTAACGAGCACCGAAAGACCTTCTCTATTCGCAGAGGGTAGAGTGTTTGTGATAAGAGCCATTAGTTTGTCTGTCTTTTCTTTAGTCAGGCGAATAGTCATTTCATGAGAATTTATCAAAAAAACAAGAAATGTTATTTCTTGACAAGGGGTAAAGATCGATTTCGAAGGTGTATAACAAATCCCAGTTTCTCTTGTCGAATCAAAGTCTCAAGATAGCAGTTACACAATGTTTATATGAATAGCCGACCAAGAATGCGTCATCAATGTAAATAATAGCGACCTTAAGCATGTAGGACGTGAACGCGACGACGACGGCTATCAATACAATGGGTCATTGAAAAGAAATGAATAATTAAAGACACATGGTTGGTTTTAGAAGTCGTCCTCGTTCTGTTTACAACAGGAAAACGTGTTTTTTTACGTCTTGCCTAGAACGGGTGCATTTCAGGACTCAGCGAGCCCTACCTCGCATCAGGCTCTATATAGAATTGTCCTTAAAAGTTCTTAACGCCTTATACTCACTAAATCGGTACAATTAATAATATACAACAACAACTTTGATATAGCATTTATTTAAAGGAGAATTTCAGTTTGGTAAAGCGTCCGGTGATATACGTTTGTAAGAATGGCTGGAAAAATAGAGAGTGGCTGGAAAAATTGGGTCAAAAAGGACAAAAGTATCCTGCATGTCAATATAGCAGTTCTAAATTGTTATACGTCGTATTAATTTTACCTTTAGAGTTCGTATCTTTGCATGATGGTATCATGCAATATCTTTTTGGTCATTTCACTAACTCCTATGTAATCCGACTAGAGGATATTGATATTATATTATCTTAACCTTTTACTCAGAATACTTCACACAGGGACCGTCGCAAGAATTCGTTGGCGACCTGGCTATACGGACACGCTATTTCTTGCAAGCTCTTCAACTGATAATTGTGTCAGGATTTTTGAGGTCAAACTGCCAGGGAAGATACCAAATTGAAGTAATCTTTCCCAGTGAGAAAAGGTGGAAAGGTTTCATATCGCAAGAGTCGAATAATGGAGAAAGACTTAAGAGTATCACGACTTGAGAGTATCGTCTATTTTGATAGTGAGTCTGCGCGTTTATGATCTGCATGCATACGCAATACGTTTATTCATAATGGTAATTGCACTGAGTGGAGTGCAATTTGGTGTGAAATCAAACGCGTGATTACAAAATCGCACGACCGCGAATCCTCGCCCCCAGGGCCTAGCTCCGTTGCTCTCCACACATCGGAGCTAGGCCCTGGGGACGAGGATGCGCCCCGTTTACACTACATTCCCGATCAAACGAGGCTTGTTTACTTCTTTCTCGACTTTTTGGTATTTTGAACTCACGCTTAATTGTTATCATGAATTTGCTCTACATTAAATCATATTTTAAATCATTTTTGAGGCCAACAAACCGTTTTCTGACTATTAATGAATATAATTATTCAGTAGCTCTATTAAACAAACCAAAAAGAACGAACACACAAATTACCTCCGTGAATTTAAAACTGCGAAATAAGTCTCAACAAGGAAGTAGGAACACGAAATGAAATCGCGTGTTTTTCCTCGCTCTTATTGTTCTTGCTAAGGCTCACCATGGGCACCCCAGGCACCCCATGATGATGCTTTGCATCTCCCTGGTATATTTTACTATTCTGGACCTAATTCCCTGTAAGAGTAGCACGCCCGCTAAGCCGCTATATTAATAGAGAGGTTAAGATACCCCGGTTCCGGTGTACGGGTACGGGTAGCGCCATTTTGTTTTCCATTTTTCGCTGATGTCAGCATATTTACCCGTAATTCTCCTCTTTCACAAATACCATAATGCTTTGCGCTTTGGGGGGTTATTTAAAAAATATTTCCTTTGTACCATTTGTTTACAATTTTACATTGTTAATAATGGGTAAAAAAGACTATTGATGTGCTCCTGGATGTTCAAATAACCGAACGAAAAACCCTGAACTACAATTCTACAGAATTCCGAAAGAGAAAACTAGGAGAAAGAGCTGGCTGGCTAGAATTAGGCGTGATTTTGTCCCTTCTGAAAACACACGACTGTGTTCTCATTTCGCTGACGGCGTCAAGTCAGATGAAAGAACCAGTCGAAATTTTATTCCTTCGATTTTTGAATACTCACACTTGGCACAAACAACTCCAAGGACCACGAACAACAGTGTCACCAAAGATACAGCATTGGAAGTTATTACAGAACCGAAGCTGAAGAGGCAACGAAGAATGCCGGTAAGCCTGTCTAAACTTCCTTCTGATTTATCTTTTCCTCAAAGGTTTGATTGGCATCTTTTTATTCATAGACGAATCAGATACGCTTTTTAAAAACCAGTTGTGAATTTTAATAATTCATAACCTGTTCTGTAACATTCAACGTTTGCGCACTGTGCAGCAATTGTTAAAATCCTTTATCCTTTTCCAATTTTCCAAATGTGAAGATTATCATTGATTGTACAGAAATTTTTACAGAGAAACCATCATCATTGCAAGCATGCAAAGAAATATATTCCAATTATAAAGGGCACACAACATTCAAGTTTTTAGTTGGAATTGACACACATGCAGCAGTTGTTTATGTTTCTCGAGCTTGGGGTGGGCGCACTTCGGACAAACATATTACATCAAACTGTAATGACTTACTAGATGCAATGAAAGAGGGGGATGAGATAATGGCTGATAGAGGATTTGACATAGATGATGTCTTAAGTGTTCCAGGTGTTAAAGTTATCATCCCAGATTTTAAGGGGAAAGACCGCTCACAAATGAGGGCAGTTGAAAGTAGAAGGTCAGAAAATATAGCAGTGGCACGAATACATGTGGAGAGGGCAATACAGAGAATCAAGATTTATCGTATTCTTCGAACTGAAATACCTTTGACTATGACACACTTAGCTGAGCAAATATTTACTGTTTGTGCCTATTTAGTTAATTTCCAGTCCCCAATACTACAATAGGTTGACAGTTAAATATTGAATAGAGCATTGGAAACAAAACTTTTCAATATCAAATATTTCAGAATCATACTTTGATATATATTTCCCTAACATATTATTTGTCTGTACAATAAATTACAGTATAAGTAAACTATATGTACAATTCAACTATTTAAAGTTTTCAACAATGGATAAATGAATTATTAATGCATTTCATTAATATTACCAGTGGGTAAATAACTTATTGTAAATTGTGCTGCACATTATATGTGGTACTATCACATTACTCCATTACATTTAGAAACCCTTGGGGCAGCCCTAATAATTCAATGATATTTGTTATAATTATTCCTCTCTTACAACAGTGCTGAGAGATTCATATGTAATTCCAAGTTTACCAATTCTACTGTGTCCAAACTTAACCTGAGGATATGCAAGCTCCAATAAAATAATGTCATAATAAAATTTCCTAAGCCTGGGTAGTTGCTGTTCCCAAAATTTCTGGCAGTAAGCAGTGTTCAGAACAAATATAGCCTTTCCATCTGAAGCAACAAAATCAGCCCATAACCTTCTTGAACAAAACAGCTGTTGTTGAATTTGGTAATAGTAGGGGTGATTGTTATTAAATGAGACTTGATCACCTGTTTCCTTTAATATACATTGCCTTTTGAGGGCATCCAGTAAGGATTCTGCAGTGTGTGGGTGGATCTTTTTTACTTCAATTATACCCTCATCCCCAACCAAACCATCTGGTGTTGCACCAAGAAACGGATGGGTGACAGATATGAAAAATCCACATGGTTGGACATTGACATTGTTTCTTTGTTCATACATTTCTATAATTTTGAGTTCTGAATCCTTTCCATCTTGCATGTATGATGTTTGGATGCGCTTGTTGTAGCCCAATATGTCACGCAATGCTTTAGTGGGACTTGTAGTCACTTTTTGAATTGCCCGCTTACACTTTGATGCAGTTATCCTTGGCATGCGGTGTGTAAACCACAGTGGATTGTTGTGCTGGCCTCTGGTTTCCCGTTCTATTGACTCAACTTCCTCTTGGCTTACACATATTTCACTCAAAACATTTTCTGCTTTTTCTCGAATTTCTTGCAAGCAAATTGTATTACCAAGATTATGCTCTAAGATTTCTTCAATTTCATTATTGTCAGCATTTGCATATGAGCTAGTCTGTACCTCAATATCACAACAAATAGCTAAACTTGCATAATTCTCACAAATATAAACGTCTGGTAGATTACACTCAGATGCAGGTTGGGCAGAATCATTTTCCACCTTGGATAACAGGTAAATTATGGGAGGCATTGGTTTACCCATATTTGCTTCTAGAATTGCCTGCCTCAAGTTTGATTTTCGTTCTTCCTTTGTTAGGGGATTTTCATCACTGTTTTTGTACAAATCCTCTGTTATTGCAGGAGATGGTCGGAATTTCTTTTCAGGTGGTTGCTCTCCCACTTTAGCTTTGTAAATATTTATATTTTCAACCATTGCTGGTTTTACTTTGGCACCTGGAAAAAGAGCAAAGATTATTCCATAATAATTCACAGGCAGCTGATAGCAAAAATTCTTAAGATGATTCTACAAAGAAAAATGTGCAGAAATATTGTATTCTATTTCAGTGCTGACATGTTAGATTATGTAGGATTATTTTACCTTTAGGTTCTGTCCATGAGCAAGGTAAGTCCGTACAAGTAGGGTCTGAAGGGATTTGCACTTTTCCTTCTGCAATAATGTCAGCCAAGACAAACAACAAAGCACCAACATGGCTGCAATTACCTCGCAAACTTTATGATGGAAAAAACACATTTACTACCATCACACTTACTACCATCACACCAAATTTGCAAAAATAGCTTACCCAACTGTGCAGGTACAATATGCAAATAATGGCTTGCTGGTCTCCATGTGCATGACAACATACATCGTCTTCATTTCTTCTGGATCGGTGGAGAATGATGGGTTGCAACAACCTCTTAAAACCCACATATTTTCATACTCTGGTAATGAATGAACCCTAATTTACAGCAAAACAGCCAAACGGAAATATATTAATATTTATATAGGTATAAATTTTTAGGAAAAATGTTTCTGCTACAGACAAAGAATTGTGCACTAGATATGTTGTTGTAAATACTTACTTTAAAGAGTGAACTCCTTGTTTGTGCTCCCAAGCACGAAGGGTTTTGTATTTCTTGACGTCCGCTTTGGTATAACCCACTCCAACTAAAAAGGTCTTTACCATGGACTCGTCCACAACTTGCGGTAAACCAGTGAGACTCTTGCTCCAGTTTTTTAGTTTCTGTAGCTGCCTTATCGACGGTAAGCTTTGGTCTTCAGCAGGTTGGGGCAACGGCACAGACGAACTCGTAGACGAAGTTGATATGTTTAAACCATTACAGACAAGATTAAGTATGGCTTTCTTTCCAAACGACTTTTCAACGTCAATGTTTAAACTTTTAGCGATATGTTTTAATTTTGTTTTGGACAGTTGTGCAACGTCCTTGAACGTCTTTAACGAGTTTACAATTGATACTTCCTGTCTGTCCCCCATTTTGTTTACATCGCAGTCCCCCCAAAGCGCAAAGCATTATGGTATTTGTGAAAGTGGAGAATATCTACCCGTTGTCCCGTGGTAAACGACGGTCTACACGTAAACAACGAACGAGTAACTACAAAGACAAAGTGGTCAAAGTTTTTTTAATAAAGGACAAATGGAGAAGCGGGTGACTGTCTTTAACACGTTTAAAATACATTTTACGTATTACTATAGTGTTCATATTGTTGTAAAATTATACAGTCTATATACAAGCTACAGTACAGGCTTCTCAAAAATGGTTTGCAAACATAATTCATGAACGCCATCTTGATATTTTTGATTTTCAAAACAAACACACGAAATACTATAGTTAAAGTTAAGTAGGACTTACAATGGAGATGTATAATACATATTTACTTTTATAGTCAGTTCTTACCCGGTGTTGTTCTTACCCGGAATTTAAGAAAATTCTTAAGTTGCAAACCGTACCCGTCTTACCGGTAACGGGTACGTGTAATTCACCCGTACCCGTACACCGGAACCGGGGTATCTTAACCTCTCTAATAACTAAAATTCGCCGGAGATGTCAAACGCCCGCAGAATATTAAACGTCGAACTGGCAGCTATATTAAAAAATTTTAGATCATTTTAAATGCAAATTGGGAATTGACAATCCCTTGCACGTGTACCTTATATTGTCACGAATTTGCATGAAAATGAACGTAATAATTCCCAAAGGGCAAAACGGCAAACCGTTGTACACTAACTTGGCAATGCTCAAACAGCAAGGAGAAACAATATACAGAGAGAGAGAGAGACGGTATTTTTGAAGCATGTTTTAAACAAATTACTCTGGCTGCAACATGTGCATACTTCCAAGGGCCGTATTGAAAATGTGTTGTTTCCGTGAGTTAAAATTGCCCTTTCACATTGGATGTTCGTAATCGGGTACTTCTGGTGCTGATTTGGCTTCGAATGTATCAGGAAGTCGCTGTTATCCGGCATGATCATGCCTCATGGTTAGTTAAACAACTGTTCAAATAGTATGGGAGAAGTTATCTTATGTAGCGATTTCTGTAAGCGTGGTCTAAATATATGGAGACTGGCGGGAGTTTCTGTTAATCAGTCTTATGATGGTCTTATTTCATCAAAAACCTGATTGTTGGGCTACTGCATGTGATCGATCTAATGTTTCGTTTACCAAGGCATTTCTAATGCGTAGTATCCAACACTAGTTTTTATCTAAAGTAATTTAATGCAAAACTATTAGGATTAACAAGGGTATGAATTTAACCTTTGGCTTTGGAAAGAATTTTGAGGTGCTCAGTTATCACTACGTCAAGGAAACTCAGGAAAGTTGTCTTGCTGAAATCGGTTTTGTCTTTTTAGATTGTTGAAATGACGGCAATATTCTTTTAATTTTAGTTTGATCACGCAGTTATGAAGAGGAATGTAAGTTTGTTGTTGGGTTGTTTGTATATATTTACTCTATATACTGCTTGAAACCGATTATTTTCCTCAACTATTACTATGCACCCGGCCACGATCTGTGGGTTGTAATTGACCACCATAAATTAAAACACGGTTATGACTCAATGATCTCAAAACTCCGCGGGCGTTTATAAATGACGGCGTCGTGGAAAGGTATACTAAGATTATGTAATGACTGCATGGTTTTACCCACTGGTTTTACCACATATATAAAACGAAAAGGCCATGTTCAGTTTTATATTATGGCTATAATTTATTCCGGGCAAACTTGGTTGGGGAAATTACATGATTTAGTGATTATCTATTGTTGTTTGTTTGAATGATTTTTTGTTTGTTTTTTCGTTGCTTAATATAATTTAATCAGGAAATTGAATTTGATAAGGCAGATGTATCTACAAAAAGCTAACTGCTAACGCGATTGATAACGACGGTATTTATTTCTGTTTCCAGAATTAAAGGATCGTCGTCGCTTTGGGACGCTTTGCCTCAATGCATGCACGCAAATACAACAGTCTGTTTCGGCGTTTATATGCATGAGTAAAAAATGCATCGGTTTTAAAGGCTTTTTGGCTCAGTGCGATTTACTGGACACTCTTCCGTTTACCTTCTTCATTTCGAAATTTTCGGCTTGCGGTTTTTGCATGCATGGATTAAGGTGGTCGTGACAAGCAGAGTCTAGCGGCCCCATCACTTGGATTTTCTCCATCTTGAATGACGAAAAAAATTGCAGAAAAGAGAGCGGCTAAAAAATGAAAATGCATGAATGAGAAATTGTATTTATTTGCAGGAGATAATAGTCGAGTGTTTTAGTCTTCTCAGGTCAGACGATCACATTACAAATGAAGTACAATCTTGGAAAAAATACTTGGAGACTCTTTGTTAATTTCACTAAAAATCTATTATAAAATGCTATAATCGTACATTTTCCATAAATTACTTACTGAATGACCCTCAATGCTCAACCCCCTCTTCCCCCTGAACAATGTTGAATAAAATGAAGTAACTTCCGAACATACAATGCATAAATAGCAACATTGTGTAGGGGGGAAGGGGGAGACATGAAGAAATTGAAAAAGTCTACTAATTTTTTTCCAAGATTGTCTGAAAATGACTAAATTAGTAATCTTTTATATAACAGGTGATTGTGGATTTTGAGCTCTAATCTTAAGAAAACTCACCAATCAGTTGTAAAAAATGATATTCCTGATTTCAATTCCGTCACCAGCGTGGGGGGGGGTGGGGGGGGGTTGTTGAATCAGGGGGGGTTGCATTGTCTTTTGAATGGATTTTCAGTTGGCTGAATGGCAGGATATCTGCGAATTTACTTTGTGCATTTTTGAGTTGACGATCTATAACGGAGCTCTTTTATCATAGCTAAATCTCAATTGTAGCACCTTCTTTATAGATGGCCAAAAAATCTCGCAAAAACGTCGCTTTGGAGCATTCTGCTCAAATTAGAGCTGCATATCAATTGTCAAATATTCGAGGAAAAAAACTTTTAAAAATGTTTCCTCAGTATTCTAAAGCTGCAATATATAAGCACGCTCAGAAGCCACTAAATGGTGAACCTGTATTTGACAAGAGGAAAGAAAATAAAGGCAGACCTTCAAAATTATCACCTCAAGACAAGAGAAGTATAGTGCGCTCCGTAGCAAGTCTCCGAGAAAAAGGAGGGTTCTTTTACCTCTAAACGTGTCCAGGTATAGAAAGCGGCGTAGGCCATGTAAGTGGTCGCACTATTAGGATTTGCTTAAATGAGAACGGATTCTGGTATTTGCAAACGCGAAAGAAAGGACTTCTTTGTGCCAAAGATCTAAAATCAAGGGTAAAGTTTTGCAAGAAAATTAGAAAGCAAAATTTGGGCGAAGAGTTCTGGAGGACGGGGATATCGTTTTATTTGGATGGAAAGGGATTCCAGTACAAAAGTAACCCTTATGACCAGGCACGCGCACCGGGAGCTCGAGAGTGGAGAAAACGGGGAGAAGGCTTGAAGTTCAATTGCACTGCAAAAGGAAAAAAGGAAGGTGGAATCAACGTGAACTTCATGGTGGCAATATCCTACGGTAAAGGTGTAGTTCTCTGTGAACAATATGATGGGACTATAACAGGCCCAAAATTTGCAGAAATTGTCAAATCGTTTCCAAAAGCGTTCAAAAAATCATCAAACCCAAAAGCGAGAAGATTTCTCATGGATGGGTGCCCAAGGCAGAATTCAAAAGTAGCAATGCGTGCTATCGACAAATTAAATGCATTTGTATTCAAAATTCCGCCACGAAGCCCTGACCTTAATCCGATCGAAAACTTTTTCCATACGCTAACAGTGCGACTGAAGAACGATGCACTGCAAAAGAATATTACCAAGGAAACTTTTAGAGAGCTATCATCGCGAGTAAAAGATACTATTCTGAGCTTTAGTTCTGAGGAAATTGACAAAATCATTGACAGTATGGATAAAAGGATCACCGCAGTTCTTAAAGGAAAGGGTCAAAGAACCAAGTATTAGTTTATTAAAAAGCGTAAATGTCTGTATCATTATATTCTGGAAATTTTTAAGTGCAAAAATCCAGCAGTGCTGTTGTATAATTGTAGTGATTTATCACTCACAAGATCGAATATCAAATTATTTTAATCAATACAGACGTAGTAGAGTAACGTATTTGCCCCAAATTGGACGGTTGTTCTATACTTTGTAACTAATATATATTATATATATCGTATGATTAAATCCATCACATGTTACATCATGTTACACTACATGTTACACCACATGTTACACTTCAACTTGTATATTTTACTGTATATCTTGACATGTTACACATGTTACACCTACTTTTTAAAATAATCAGTATATTCTTTTTTAAAGTAGGTGTAACATGGTGTAACATGTCAAGATATATAGTAAAATATAATAGTTGAAGTGTAACATGTAGTGTAACATGTAGTGTAACATGATGTAACATGTAGTATAAATATTTCCCATTGCACAAAACATAAATGTTTATCGTTCATAAACTTTGGTCTCTCTTTAGGCTTTATTTTGCCATAGTAGTCTACGAATTTTAAATGTAAATAAACAACAAGTACTTAATTAATAATGTTCCGCATTGTTTAGCATATTTCTCCCATTAATACAAGTTGTGCAAAACACTTTGCACACGGGACAATATCTTTCTGTCCGTTTTTCGGGATTTTGTGGGAAAAGCTGAACACTTTCCATCTTGACGCCATCATGTCATCTTCGGCTTGGTCGTGAGAGTTGTAACAGCCTTTATACTTGATGATACTCTTTGAGGTTGCAAATATTGGCGTATCTTCACTGATGCAAACGTCGGTGCTGAAGTGATTCTTAGGAGCTGGCAGGTTAACTCTATCTCCTTCTAATAGTAGCAGAAAACTCTTCCAATCGATTAACTCCTTGCTCCATCGGAAATCATTTAAAAAAATGATTTCTGCATGCTCGGCCCCAACCCATGCATATTTATCCTCCGCTGGATTCGAAAATATTTTGAAAATTAACTCCAACG